CTTTATTCCTAGGCACCACACAGTCCTGTGTTGAACCACAAGCCAAATCCCTGCTCAAAACACCTGCCATTTCTGCACCGAGAGTAACATGATTAGACAGGATTGCTGGCTCCCTCACCATCAAATCTGGGTCTCCTGGGCCAGAAAAAGATGCCTGACTTTATTGTGATATGATAGGGACAGGAAGAAGGCCTGTGTCACTGTCACTTAGCCCAAAGATGACTAACTCTAGAAGATAATCACATGGAAGGTGAAGCCGTTGCTCCTTAATCCCAGGCAGCCTCTGACACATCCATCCCTTTTTTCCGAAATATTCTATCCACCTAATCTCTGACTCCTCAGGGGCAAAACTCTCAGAAACCAGACCCTATCTACTACAACTACTACCCCACAACCTACCTGAGGGTCCACTTTGTCTAAGAAAAGAATTCTATTCCCTAGTTCTCCCTCTCTCATCATCCATTGCCTGGTACTGTATTCAGTTTTGCTGAGCTGCATGTTATGTAGAGCTCTTCAAAGGCATCAGTACACCATACAAACACCGGGAACACAGACACCGGCCACAGGCCAGGGTCTGGGAGAGTCTGGCTTGCAGCAAGGGTGAAACAACAGTTCTATGGAAAGAGTTCATGCCTGGGAAGAGAATAAGACAGCCAGGCCCTCATGGTTCTGCTTTGCAGATGATTAGTGCCTACTCAAAGTCTAAGCCTCTTGTCTGTCACCCCCAGAACTTTCCTGACCTCTCCTCCCTATTTATACTCACCATATATTCAAAGATGCCAGTTGAACATCAGCCTAAATCTAATAAAAACTGGACAGTAACTCCTCTTTAAAAAACAAAAACCAATCTAAATCAGCCACTACAAACAATACAATAGGACCACATGAGTGGGACAGATCACTCCCAGGACTTCATGTGGGATGGAAGCCCAAGTGTCTTTTAGCCATTGCATGATTATGGGCATAAGACCCTAAGCCCATATATTCTTTAGACCTCAGTTCCTTTAACACCATAAAATGGGGGGCTATATCTAGATGACATGTAGGTCAGGGATCCATATGGAATACAAATACTATAGTACACAGAAGCCATGATAAAGGGCATGATAAAAAGAGAGAAACACTGATGAGGAGATTTGGGTAAAATTGCTTCCCCTGGGATGGAGGTGCCAGATGGGGAGGATGGGGAAAGAATCTTAAGTATTCCGTCCTTTTAGGAAAAAGATGGACAGAACACAGAACTACTGGCCTCCACACTCAAGCAATGCTGAAAGCAATGAAGGGCAAAAAGGTTGGCTGCTCACCCCAGATCTTCTCACAGACTATCTGGATTGGGACACTCTCTGATGGGCACTCAGATCTCAGTTTCACACATATTCCAAGTTATTGTCCACAGGACATGGTCAAGGAATGTGGGATTAGCATTTGGAACCACATCAGGACATTTGGAGAACATGAACTCAGAGGACAAAAAAATAAAAACATTTAAGCTTGGATAAAATATCATAATCACACAACTCAAGTCAGAAGACAGCCTGTATTTTATATTCCTTTTGGCTTTAATCATACTGATAGAAATTGACCTAAGGAGATTCAGCTTCTTACCCCCAGCACACAATGCATTTTCCATGTTTTGAAGCTGAACCTGATAATTAGAACAAAATTTTGCAATGTTACTGGATTTTTTTTTAGTACCTGTTTACCGAGGTTTAGGCAAGACCAAGGGTCCTTAAAACTATATAAATCTTAGATATCTCGCTGATGGGAGCATAAGCCAGTACAGCTGTTCTTTAGATCAATGTGGCACATGTCACAAAAGTCTTCAAGGTGTGCATACCTTTTAACCAAGTACTTCTTATTCTAGAAATCTATTCTAATAAAATAATCAGGAATGTAAATAAAGATTAAGATGCAAGGATTTCCATTATAACAATATTTATAACAAAATATCACATAAAACTATGATTTCCAACAAAGAAGGAAATGAATTTTCAATTAGAGTATATATAATGGAATCACATGAAAGCATTAAAATTAGGTTGTAACTGCAATTTCATTGACATGGAAGGATATTCATTATATACTGCTAGGCTCAATTAAACAAATTTGTATTGAGCACCTGCTATATGGAAGACCATGCTAGGCAGCGAGGACATGGTGGTGAATTTTAAAGGTATAGCTCTTATTCTCATGAAGCTTATGATTGACCAGGGAAATCAAATATTAAGGAAGTAATAAGATGAGTAGTAATACTAGAGTGAAGCATAAAGTACCATGGGAGTAAGTAGCAAAGGAATTTAACCTAAGCCAGAGAGGTCATAGAAGCCTTCCTGAGGAAGTGATGCTTAAGCAGTAATGAAGGATGTACAGAGTCAGGCAAGCAAAGAGACAGAGGAAAGAACATTCCAGGAAGATGAATAGCAATTTTTTTTTAAATACATACATCAAAAAAGGCTATTTCGGCTGGGAGCAGTGGCTCACGTCTGTAATCCCAGCACTTTGGGAGCCATGGCAGGTGGATCACTTGAGGCCAGGAGTTCAAGATCATTTTGCCAACATGGTGAAATTCATTCTCTAATAAAACTACAAAAATTAGCCAGGCATGGTGGCATACACCCGTAGTCCCAGCTACTCAGGAGGCTAAGCCACGAAAATCAGGAGCTGGAGGTTTCAGTGAGCTGAGATTATGCCACTGTACCCCAGCCTGGGCAACAGAACAAGACTCTATCTCAAAAAAAAAAAAAAAAAAAGACTATTCAACTGTATATATTAAATGAACTCAAATATATGTTTTGTATATGTACACATTTATAAATATAAAATCTAAAAAGATATAAACCATACTCTTATCTAGATGTTGTGATACATATAATTTTTTTACTTTTTGCTTGCCCACAGTTTCTGATTTTTATCTGTAATAAAACATGTGAATAGTATTTGGATGGCTGGGTGAATGGATGGGTGGAAGATGGATGGGAACCAGATTCAGTGGAAGGTTAGGGCTGGGCATTGCATTACCCTGCTTTCTTCTCCTGATTCTCCTGTCCCTTCAATTCCTAGAATCTAAGAATGCCCCAGAAACATTTTTTCTTCCAATTTGTAAAATCACTTTGGTTTTGCTATGACACTTCAGCTACTTCAGAGGCAAGTTCATTAGCAAACAGTGGAGCCAGCATGACAGTTCATTGGAATTCCAAACAGATTCCTCTCTCAACACTGAACTTTCCAAACCCCACAAACAAAGGATGACTGGCAGAGCTATTTATTGAAGTTACAGCTAAATAACTATTGCAGACAAGATGAAATATTTTAAAACAGAGATGGATGAAGGAAAGGGGAAAAAAAAGGAAATAAAGGCCTTGCAACTAGGGTTTAAGACAAGTCTAAAGGGAATGCAGCTCAAAATTTCCAGATACTGAACTTAGCTAGTTTTCCAGGCTACAATGTGAAATTCCTGGCCCAAAGCTGAAAGTGAGGTAAGAGTATCTTGGTCCACTTAGCAGAGGCACCACTCCAAGTTGAGACCAGCTCCTGGGGGACACACATGTGACAAACTCTCAATGCACATATCTCAAGTCTCTCCCAACAAAACCAGTCTTGCTCAGCTGTGTAACATATTAGGAAGAGGGTTACACTCCATTCAGCAAGTGTGCCTGCACTCACCCATCCTTAGCAAGCTTGCATTCATTCTTCAGACATTCACTTATTTGGGCATGGAGGATTAAACAATAACAAGACATGTTCCCCAGGTGCCCAAAGCTCACAGTCAAGTGTAGAAGACACTTCATTCACTCATTTAAAAAATATTTGTGTCCTGCCATGTAGCAGGTGCTCAGGATATAGTAACAAACAAGCCCAACAAGGTCCTCCTGGAGCTTATATTCTAGTGAGGAGAGACAGGTAAAAACCAAGATGATTTTCAGATGGCGATAAATGTTATGAAAAGATAAAGTCAAATTATAGGATAGAGAGGCTTGGTGTGGAACTATGGCCAGAGTGGTAAGAGGCGACCTGCCTGAGGAGGAGACATTTGCAGGATGAAAAGCAGCCAGTTACATGAGATACCAGGGCATGGACATTAGAGATCCCAGGAAACAGACAGGAATGCAGAGTGACAGTTGCCACACTCAGAGCAGGCACAGGCACTTGGAAAACATGTAGAAGGGACACCTGACCCATTCTGGGGTGTCTCACCAAGCCCAGATGGCCTCCTTCTGTCAGCAGTGATTTACAGAGCACTGAAGGTACCTGGTTCAGGGGAGGTACTGAGAAGAACTACAGACAGGAAGCTCAGCCGTGGGTTTCAGGTAATTCAGTCTCAGAACTAACAGATGGGATCAATTTGGACAAGGCTATTGGACATGCCCAGGAAACAGGGACCCTGGAAAGTTGGCAAAGGTGCTGAAACTGAAGGCCAGATATTGATTACACCTATTTCTCATCCCCCTCAAGCCCTATCATCACTTTTCCAAGTCTCCTCCACGCTCCTATAAAGGCCAGAGGAGGCCCAGGTTCCCTGTCTGGAATGAAGGGCTAAGGAAGGACAATATGTAGGTCAGCTGGTACAGCACTGGGTCAGCTGCCAGGAAGCCAAGTCCCACTCATTCACTGTGACCTTGAGCAAGTCTCTTCCCTTGTCTCAGCCTCAGTGTCCTCCATCTGCAAAGTGAGAGACCAGAAGGCCTGGCCATGAGCCCAGGAATCTACATTGCTAACACCCTTGCCCACATGACGATGGTGCATGCTGAGTTTTGAGAACTAATGAGCTATGTGAGTGTATCTTTTTTCCTCATGGTAGAAAGGGCTACATGCCCAACTAGCCTGGACGTGGTTCCATCAAGTCTTCCATGGCACAAAGCACAATATCTGGCTTAAAGTAGCCCCTCATGGTGGGCTAATGGCTTTCTCTTTCCTCCCTCCCCTCATGTCACCACCCTCAACATTCTCCCAGTGGAGTTGCAGCCCCATAACCATGGGTTAATGTTGGCCGCTCACCATACCTGTGAACATCGCACAGAAGTAGGGGCTGCAGGCTGCCAGGACCACACGGTGGGCTTCTATCTCGACATCTTCTGCCACAATCATCACGTCACACAACAGCTGTTTACTGTAAGACACCAGGGAGGGGACAGGATGGGTCACAGCACGGACACCTACCCTCATCTTACAAGGCTATTTTTTTCTCCCACCCAGATTTCACACTATTACTACACAAAGCTGTCATAGGGACTTGCTCTATCTTGAGTTAGACAGGGGGATGGATTCATCAACTTTTCTAAGCTCCTGATATACCTGGCATTCATGCTTTCCTAAGGTACATAGAGAGATCCAACTACTTGGTGGCTGTAAATTCAGGGCTGCTTTATTTGTCTTCACCTCTCTGTTCCCCAATTCCATGAAGTCTGATTGAGAATGAAGGGTTTAGCGACTTAGGAAGGAGTGGCAAAAGCTTGGGGCTGTCATTCGAGTGACTGAGTGAATGCTGAGGAACATGAGCACACCACTGAAGTGTGTCACCAGCAAGACCACGTACTAACAATTCCCCAAGGGACGCAATGTATATGTAACATCAGTAAGAGGCAAGCCAGCCTTAGGTATTTCTCCTTCCACCCAGATTTAACACTATCAACAAGAAGACTCTGCACATAAACACAGTGCTCCCTAAAGACCTGTGCAGACTCCAATCACCGCAATTATTTAAAAATACTGCAATTACCTTTATTTTTGCCACCCCCACTGAACTCACAAAGGGACTTGTCTTATTTAATATTGTATCCTAGACACCTGGCTGCATACCTAGCACATAGCAGGCCCTAAATTTTCACTTAATAAATAAATGAATGAATGAAGTGTGATCAATCCACATTCATAGACAGAATGGAGATATGACTACTTTAGACATTGATAGGGTGTCACAACCTCCCATCAGCCCAAGAATTTTTCCTTTATTACTCTTCCAAGCTCTTGTCATTCCTGTTATCAATATGATAGTGAATATTTATTGAGTTCTATGTGCCAGGCACTGTTGTAAGCACTTTTTTACACATATTACTTCATTTAATCCTCTCTACAACCCCATGAGATAGGGCTAATTGTTATGCCCATATTACCAACGAAGAAACTGAGATCCAGAGAAATAATTTTCCCAAAGTCACACAGAAAGGGAACAGCGGAAACAGGATTTAAAAGAAGGCAGCTGAAGCCCAAAGCCGATGCATGCTCCCCTGATTTGAGAAGGCTGAGGTCATGACTAGATTTTGTGTGAGAATGTTGAAGCCAATTAATAAGTCTGCCATGGCTGACAGATGGAAGAAAAGCTACATATTTGCCATCTCTGGTATAGCCCATTAAGTCACTGTCAACTACTAAGATATTTGTTTAGGTTCATACATCAAACAAATAGACTCATAAGGTCTGAGAAGGCTGGAGCTGCAAATGCTGTTAGAGATCATCTGGTCTATGAAACTCGGAGAGGTGAAAAGATGCCCAAAGCCACAGAAGCCTAAGTCTTGAATCCAGCTCTCTTCACTCTAGATACAGTGACTTTTCCACAGTACCACAATGCCTCCTGATTGGCTGACACTTAAAATGAGAAAACACAGAAGACAGGTTAGATTCAATGGGGAGAAGTGGTCAGGAAGTGTAATAAAGTATCAGTAAGGAGGTTTGGGCACCAAGAGGCAAAACCAGGGGACTGAGACCTTATCTGCAGTGGGCAGCAGACCCTGACCACCAGCTGTATCAGGGTAAACCAGTACAACCAGGAACAGAACTGGCTCTGTCCCTAACTGGTTACTAGACCATGGGCAAATAATCTCACCACAGTTTTCACACCTGGTTTAGCTGCCTTTGGGACACATATCATGGGGACCAAATGGAATTATAGATGTCATCTAAAAATGGCATTTTCAGTCCCATTAAATTTTATTCTAAAAATGTATTTCCAACATGAACAGACTCATCGTGGACATTTTTACTTATATTAAGTATTTTAGGAAGAAAATTGAGTTATCACTGCTATTTAAGAGTAACCACAGTTTGGGAGGCCAAGGCAGGCATATCACTTGAGACCAGCTGGCCAACATGGTGAGACTCTGTCTCTACTAAAAAAAAGTAGCCCGGTGTGGTGGCAGGTGCCTGTAATCTCAGCTAATTGGGAGGCTGAGGCATGAGAATCGCTTGAAATCCAGAATGCAGAAGTTGCAGTGAGCCAAGATCACACCACTACACTGTAGCCTGGGTAACAGAGCAAGACTCTTTCTCACAAAAATAAAAAAGGAACCAGTTATATCCAGTTATATTTTTTTGGTAACCAATATTTTAATAAGAAAATTGTTGACAGCAAAGGGTCAGAAATGCTGAACAAATGTTCAAGGCTAGGAGCTGAACAAGCAACTGTCAGGGTGTGTTACCTTGCACAAACCCAGGGAAGCTGATAGTTCTCGAACAAATGGGAAAGAAACAAAAAGGAATGAAGAATAAAGATAGAGAATCCACTTAAGCAAATCAATGACAGCAGTTCTGATGAGTGGGAAGTGTGTCTCAAGGCCAGAGAAATGCTAACCCGGAAAGCTGGCCAAAAGAAACTTGCCAAATACTTAAGATGGGCTTTCCCTGGAGGTGGGGAAGCCTGTCTGCACACTGGAGACATCTCTATGTATCCACACTACATGGAAGAAGGAAGTCGTAGCTCTAAAGCACTGCATGGCTCACTAGCACTCCTATTCAATTTACCTGGGATCCTATGGGAGCCTCTTTTCTGAGTTATCACACTACTCCAAAGGACAATCTTGAGGAGAAAAAATGTAGAACTAGACACTTCACCATTTGTGGAAAAGTACAATGCAGTGTTAGGAAGGAGCTGAGGCTCTCAAATCAAGCCTCTCGAACCTCTGCCCCACCACTCTCTAGTGTAGATAAGTATACAATGTGCCCAGAGTGTCACAGAATTGAGATGTGCTGTAAATCAGATAATGCGTAGTGCTAACAGAAAATATTTAGCAAACGTTAGCTTTTTATATTTTGAAAAACAAATTTGAAAAAACGTTTATTTTTTTCAATTGTCTGCTTCACTTTTTCTCTGTATCTTCTTGTTTCCATATAATATTTGGAACTTACATGGTCCTGGAATTCAGATGTGGGAGACAGTTGAGAGGTTAAGGGGAGGAATAACCAGCAAAAAAAAAGACAGTGTGCAGCTAGGTGCGATGGTACATGCCTCCTAGATGCTGAGGAGGCTACAGCAAAAGGATTGCTTTAGCCCAGCAGTTCAAGACCAGCCTGGACAACATAGTGAAACCCCATTTCAAAAAATATGACAGTGTGGTACTAGTATAAGGATAGCTATATAGATCAATAAAATAAAATTGAGAGTCCAGAAACAACCCTCATATTTATGTTCAATTGATTTTTTTGACAAGGTGGCAAGATCATTCAACTGGGAAAAAATAGTCTTTTCAACAACTGGATATCCGTACGCAAAATAATGAAGTGGGATTCCTACCTTACACCATATACAAAAATTTACTTAAAATGGTTCAAATATCTAAATGTAAGAGCTAAGCCTATAAAAACTCATAGAAGAAAACATAGGGGTAAATCTTCGTGACTCCAAATAAGGCAATGGTTTCTTAGATATGACACCGAGAGCACAAACAATAAAAGAAAAAATGATAAATTAGGTATCAAAGTTTAAAACATTTGTGCTTCAAAGGATGCCATCAGGATAATGAAAAGACAATCCATAGAATGAGAAACAATTTTTTGCAAATCGTCTACCTGATAATGAGCTTGTATCTAAAATATATAAAGAACTCAAACTGTTACAACTCAATAATAGACAGAAAAATAACCTAATTAAAAATGAACAAGAGATCGGAATAGACATTTCTCCAAATAAGATGTAGAAATAGCCAATGAGTTCATGAAAAGATGCTCAACACCATTGACAATCAGAGAAATGCAAATCAAAACCAGAACAAGATACCACCTTACACTCACTATGATAGCTATAATCAAAAGCACAAACAATAACAAGTGTTAGAGAAGATGTGGAGAAATTAGAACCTCACTGCTGATGGAAATGTAAAATGGTGCAGCTGCTCTGAAGACAGTTTGGCAGTTCCTTCAAAGATTAAAGTTGCCATATGAACCAATAATCCCACTCCCAGACTTATATATAAGAGAGATAAAAACATACATCCACACAAAAACTCGTACATGAATGTTCACAGCAACATTATTTATAATAGCCAAAAGTCAAATGTGGTATATCTATACAATGAAATATTATTCTGCAATAAAAAGGAATGATGTACTGAGACATCTTACAAGATAAATAAACTTCAAAAGCATTATGCTAAGTGAGAGAAGCCAGACACAAAAGACTACATATTGTACGATTCTAAAACAGGCAAATCTATAGAGAACTAAAGTAGATTAGTGGTTGCCTAGGGCTGATGGGGGGTGGTTGCAATGATGGGGGAAACTATGAAGGAGGTGACTGCTAAAGAATACAGGGTTTCTATTTAGGGTGATGAAAATATTCTAAGATCGTGGTTGCACAACTCTGTGAATATACTAAAAGCCATTAAACTGTGTTCTTTAAACAGGTAAATTGTATGGCATCTGAATTATGTCTTCATAAAGCTGTTACCAAAAGAAAAACAGAAAGCAATATGCTAAGATCGTTCATAACAATAATAAAAGCATAGTGGCAGGCCATCAAAAAAAAAAAAAAAAAGGATGAGAGCAGAGAACTGTTTGCAGTAGAGAAATAGGAGATTAAAATTGACAAAATGAGAAAAGACTGCACGTGGATTCTACTCACTGGCTGTTTCATTCTCTCTGCCCCTTCTTTTCAGGCAGGTTAGGATGTCCTGTTCTAAGAAGGCCCACGTCATTTCTCCTGACACATCCTTACTCCTGACTTGCCATCCAGCCAGCAAATGAGGTTGCTGGATGGATGGTAAGTCAGGAGTTAGGATGTGTCAGTAAGAGTCACTAGAGCTCTGCCATCCAGAAGCAGCAGCTGTGGTCTGGCCACAGCAGAGCAACGAAGTACAAAAGGAGGAGAAAGCCTTGGCAGTTACCATGCCAACAGCCCAT